GTGGTTCGTCGTCGTTCGTCGTCAGCAACAGCTGATTCTCTTCGTCAGGTGTTCAATGAGTAACGTCTTTAAAATAAAGTTGTAACTATAGTTACAGCCTGTAACTTACAGGCAACGATGCAACAATGAAAAATGCGTGCGAACATCTGGAAATTAAACATTTTTTTACAAGAGGCACTCTCAATTGCATAGCTGGGAACTGCAAAGGCTCCTTCCCCTTTCTCTACGGATGAAATCAATGTGTTGGATGATCTTTGTTCCTAACTTCGTCCGTTTGAGAAACAAACAATGCAGAATAAGCATGTCACGCATTGGAAGACTGTTTCAAAGTGCCATAAAAAAGTTGTCACGTGAACAATCCACATCAGCGTCGTAAACGCCTACACCACCAAATAATCCAGACACTTCAAGTTTTTTTTATTACAAACAAGTCAAAGTACATAGCGGTCAGACGACATAATACTGCTCAGGCAGCATACGGAAACGTTAAACGAGCCTGAAACTTGCGATCCGTTAGGTTTCTGGATGGTAAATTTGTATATTTCATATTCAGGCCTCCTCCGGTAATCGTAAAATTGTTTCGTTTTCGTTTTGGGCGAAAACGAACCGTTGTCGTTTTTAGCTGCTCCGGTTTTCGGCAATTTTCTGCTATCGGAATGTTTCGTTTGGTCATCGTTTCTCACTGCTCAAACAGCTAACTTGTGTTTTTGGTAATAAGCAAACAACGTAAAGTACTGCCTTTTATATTTACAATTGCCCTTTTTCTAAGCCAAAAAAAGCAAAAAATGCTAGAGTTAAGCAAATGCTACCCCACTTTTCACAGTTTTAATTCCGGTGGTCTCATTTAATTATTTGGTCAATTTAGACCATTTAAGCAATCAAATTAAATAGCATTATTTATAAACAACCATTTTGGCGCTCCTTTAAAGTTATTACCGTATTCATTTATATTTCATATAACGGAGAAGGAGTATTTTCGGGTTCTGCCATATCGATAGCACAGTCAGTCCCGATCGCGCCAAGAGCTAAATTCAAATGTGTCCTCACTCCACAATACCACGGCTTTTATACTCTTGCCACTATTCGATTCTCTGTCCCTTTCTCTCTTGAGCGACCGGGCCTCACTCAACGGCAACGCCACTCTTTAAGAGAGCTGGCAATGCCGCCGCGCTACGAATACAGCAGCAAGGAATACCTGGAATCCATGTCTTACCAGGAACCAATGTCGCAGCTGCGTATATTCAGCGACAACCAAAAGTGAGCGCCAAATATCGTTAGCGTTCATGGAATTTAAACTCTTCTGAGAACTGCGACACGGCCTTCCTGACCTGCACACGTCCTCGTATATGCGCGGTTATCACCCAAAAAGCTTTACAACAAAGCACTATTCTTTCCACTCATTTATTGACATAATCTTTCCATTTAAATGATCCAATTATTTCGTATACATGTAACATATAACAGTTTCTCTTGTTACATCTCAAAACATTCTTTTTCGCAATTTCTCTTTATTCATAATTGGAACCAACTCGTCCTCCTGACTCCCGCCATGCATTCACACAGAATCATGGTGTAGTCTAACACAACATTTCTTGCCAGGAATCCACACAGGATTTACACATGCGCTCCCACCATATTCACACAGAATCATGGTGCAGCCTCTCACAATATTTCTCTCCCATAATCCACACAGGATTTACACATGCGCTCCCACCATATTCACACAGAATCATGGTGCAGCCTCTCACAATATTTCTCTCCAATAATCCACACAGGATTTACACATGCGCTCCCACCATATTCACACAGAATCATGGTGCAGCCCCTCACAATATTTCTCTCCAATAATCCACACAGGTTTTACACATGCGCTCCCACCATATTCAGACAGAATCATGGTGCAGCCTCTCACATACAACACTTATTTTTCTACAGATAATCATTTCTTTTGCCTCTTCTGGGCTAATTATTATCATCAATCGTGCGATCAAATTCTTCATCTATTTCTGCCAGTATTTGTGTATTAGGTAAAGACCGCAAATGTTCATGTGCATACTTATACTGCCGCTTACTTGTTAACGACTTTAGCATATATCGATCTCCCTCTAAAACTTGTGTAATTTCAAAAGGCCCCTTAAATTTTGGATCTAGTTTTGTTTGATTTCTCTCTTCATTTCTAATCAATACGTAGTCACCAACCCGGTGCTTCACAATTTTTGCTTTGTTCTCATCAAATCTTGTTTTATCATACAGTGCGTTCCGATCAATATTTTCTTTGGCTTGCGCTCTAATCTTGTCCCTATCTATTACCTCCTCTTCTTCTGTAATAGGCAACAGACCAAATGGCCTACCTTCCCTGCCGATCATTAATTCCAAAGGACTTACTTTGGTGACGCGGTTAATTGTACTGTTAATGGCTAACTGAACTTCTAATAGCGCATCCTGCAAGGAGCGCTGACTCGTCTCGACCGCAGTTAGCATACTTTTAAGAGTACTCATTACGCGCTCGACTTGACCGTTGGCTCGGCTGGCACCCGTGGCAATCAAATGAAGGTCAATTTTCTGGGAAGAGCAAAACTCGCGGAATCCTGAGCTGGCAAAAGATCTACCCTGGTCGGCAATCACACGCATTGGCAAACCAAACAACGAGACAACAGATTTCATGGCTCTCACACAGTTTTCCGTGTCTAAGCTTAAAGTGTGATGCAAATATGTAAACTTAGTAAAAGCATCTATGATAACTATGATGTACTCCTTTTGGTCATTCTTGCCACTCAATTTCCCTGTAATATCAATATGCAGGGTATGCCAGGGTATACCTATTTTCGGAATCGGATGGAGTTCTGCCTGTACTTTACCTTTACAGCCTTTGGATATTTTGCATGTAATACAATTTTCTACGAATCGCCTAACGTACTTAGACATATTGGCAAACCAATAGTGCGCATATACTTTATCTAACGTCTTCTCCCAACCCAAGTGCATTACAGCTTCGTGTACGTGGTTTATTACAGCCCATCTGTAAGCTCTGGGTATTACGGGCAGACAACGTGTCCTTCCGTTGCGTTGAATTTTTCTATGTAACAAACCTTTTCGCAGCTCATAAGTTTTTAGTAAATCTTCCTCCAATTCGTCATTACGCAACTTCTCGATTATTTCCGAAACTTCTGGATCTCGCTGCTGTTCGGCGAGTAACCAGTTGTCGGAGACCTCAGTTAAATTTATGCGCTTCTCGACTACCTTTTCTAACTTTGTATCTTTTTCAGGGGGTAGGGGATTACGAGACAGAAAATCAGCATGAGCCATTCGCTCCCCTTTTCTATATTCAATGCGAAACTGAAAGGCCTGTAAATACCCCCACCACCGGTGTACTCTCGGTGTTAATGTTGCCTTAGAACGACTCGCCCTCAATGAATCGCAGTCAGTATAAATCACAAATTCGAGTCCCTGCAAATAATGTCTAAAGTGTTTAACAGCATTCACCACTGCAAGAGTTTCTAGCTCGTATGAATGGTATTTGGACTCCACTGGAGTTGTGCATTTACTATAATATTCGATCACATACGGTTTTTTATACATTCTGTGCAACAAAATGGCACCATAGCCAATCATACTCGCATCTGTATCGAAGATTGTTAACACTGGAGAACTAGTTAAAAATTGTATTATTTTCTGTCTTAGTTGTTCATGTTCGTTTTTCCAGGAAAGTTCCTTGCATTTTTGAGAAATTAGTAAAAATAATGGTTTTAAAAGCTCTGAAAATTTTGGCACAAATTGCCGAAAATAGGATGCCAATCCAATAAACTGCCTTAGCTGAGATACCATCTGTGGGGGTGGTAGTTCCACAAGAGCTTTTATTTTGCGACTATTTGGTCGGATTTCTCATGCACTAACTTTATAGCCTAAGTAATTTATTTCTTGAGTAAGAAATGTACACTTGTTTATATTAAAGGAGAAACCAGCTTCCATTAAGATTTGAAGGACCTGATCTAGTCTTTCAATTGCCTGATCTTTCGTTTCTGCTACTATCAAAACGTCATCAATGTAAACAATAACAAAGGTATGAGCTAAAGGTCCCAAAGCATTAATGATTGCGCGTTGAAACACCGATGGCGCGTTGTTTAACCCAAATGGCATTGCAAGAAATTCAAATTGTCCCTCGGGAGTTACAAATGCCGTACGTTCGATAGAGTCCGGGTGAATGGGAATTTGATAAAAGCCACTAGCCATATCTAAGCAAGAAAAGAAACTAGCTCCTCTCATACGAGCAATTTGGTCAGCTATAAGTGGCAAAGGATATTTATCTGCCACTGTATTTGCGTTTAGTTCTCTGTAGTCTACGCATAACCGATCTGTTCCATTCTTCTTCTTGACCAGCATCATCGGACTAGCAAAAGGGGAACTACTAGAGCGTATAACATTTGCGGACAACAATTCGCTAATCATTCCCCTAACATTAGCCTTTTCTTCTTCACTAAGTGTATAGGGACGACGCTGAACAGTTTTATGTGGATCAATAGGTCGTATGCTGAGCAGCCCTGTTGTTACTCGTGTGTGTGGAATGCCCTCTATAAATGACTTTGAGTATTTTTCTAATATTTCACTTAATTTTACTTTATCAAAATCATTTAGATCTTTATTAAAATTAAAACGTTTTTCCAGTTTGTTTTCGCATGATAGCGCTAGTACCATTTTGGGCTTATAAATAACAAATTTATTTGCTTCGATTACAACTCCAAATCCTTGACTTAAAATATCTCGACCAATAAGAATATCAAAATTCATAAATGTATCCATAATAACGTGAAACAATATTTCAAGAAAATGTTCGTTTATATTAACATTGCAAATTATCTGTACGGTGCTCCACACCGGTTCGTTTCCGATTCCCCTCAAAACCACTGTGCTATACTGACGCTTCCCTTGTAGCTTCGCTGCTACACTTTCCTTTACGAGAGAACACTCAGCGCCTGAATCAAAACAAAATGGAATAGACTCACCAAACTGTTTCAAAATTCCCTTTGGTTCTATGGCCACCAAATTAACTCGTTTGTTAATCTCGACTTCCTTGAGATTATGGCGATTCCTTGGGCACTCCGGAGCATAATGTCCAAGCTCCCCACATTTGTAGCATGTCCTGTTGTAGACTGCGCGTTGTTGTTGTTGTCCTGACGTAGAGGTGGTTCGCTGTCTTACGTCCGTTCGCCTTTTGTGGCAATCCGCAATCTTATGGCCAAGACGTCCACAGTGATGACACTTCACTAGAGATGGCAGCTTCATTTTCTTCCTTTCGACTTCGTTTCCAAAGGATTCGTTACGTTTCGAATACGCATGCGCCTTTAATTGTTGCTGCAGATCATTACGGTTTTTTACAGCGCCTGTAAGCATTGACTTTAAAAGCCGAGCATCCAAGTTGGAAAGGTGCGTCAAAACGATGGATACGATGAGTTCTTCCAATTCAATTGATTTGAACTTGGACATTAGCGACGTCACCAGGCGGCTGCCATATTCGGGTAAATTCTCCCCATTAAAGATGTTCGTCAAAGTCGCTGCCAGAGTTTCGACGCCGACAAATCGTTGTACAAACAATTCCTGGAATTGCGGCCAGGTCATGCCGCTAAAGCAGATTTGCGCCAACCACTGAGAAGCACTTCCTTGCATAGCTTTGCTGAGAGCCATAACGAGTGAACTCCCTTGAAGCATGTTTTCATTAAAAATTAATGTAACTGTATTACACCACGCACTTGCATCAGCGCCCGCACTATCAGGGTCAAATTTCGGCAATGTGATGGAATTTGATTTCACTTCCGCTAATAGCACTCGCGGTGTATAGATTGATTTCACAAGGTCCAACAAGGCACGATTTTGCGCTTCTAACGCAGCAATAGCACTTTCACTGTCCTGTGGCAGGGCGCATCCCACTTCTGATAACGGAGAAGGAGTATTTTCGGGTTCTGCCATATCGATAGCACAGTCAGTCCCGATCGCGCCAAGAGCCAAATTCAAATGTGTCCTCACTCCACAATACCACGGCTTTTATACTCTTGCCACTATTCGATTCTCTGTCCCTTTCTCTCTTGAGCGACCGGGCCTCACTCAACGGCAACGCCACTCTTTAAGAGAGCTGGCAATGCCGCCGCGCTACGAATACAGCAGCAAGGAATACCTGGAATCCATGTCTTACCAGGAACCAATGTCGCAGCTGCGTATATTCAGCGACAACCAAAAGTGAGCGCCAAATATCGTTAGCGTTTATGGAATTTAAACTCTTCTGAGAACTGCGACACGGCCTTCCTGACCTGCACACGTCCTCGTATATGCGCGGTTATCACCCAAAAAGCTTTACAACAAAGCACTATTCTTTCCACTCATTTATTGACATAATCTTTCCATTTAAATGATCCAATTATTTCGTATACATGTAACATATAACAGTTTCTCTTGTTACATCTCAAAACATTCTTTTTCGCAATTTCTCTTTATTCATAATTGGAACCAACTCGTCCTCCTGACTCCCGCCATGCATTCACACAGAATCATGGTGTAGTCCTAACACAACATTTCTTGCCAGGAATCCACACAGGATTTACACATGCGCTCCCACCATATTCACACAGAATCATGGTGCAGCCTCTCACAATATTTCTCTCCCATAATCCACACAGGATTTACACATGCGCTCCCACCATATTCACACAGAATCATGGTGCAGCCTCTCACAATATTTCTCTCCAATAATCCACACAGGATTTACACATGCGCTCCCACCATATTCACACAGAATCATGGTGCAGCCCCTCACAATATTTCTCTCCAATAATCCACACAGGTTTTACACATGCGCTCCCACCATATTCAGACAGAATCATGGTGCAGCCTCTCACATACAACACTTATTTTTCTACAGATAATCATTTCTTTTGCCTCTTCTGGGCTAATTATTATCATCAATCGTGCGATCAAATTCTTCATCTATTTCTGCCAGTATTTGTGTATTAGGTAAAGACCGCAAATGTTCATGTGCATACTTATACTGCCGCTTACTTGTTAACGACTTTAGCATATATCGATCTCCCTCTAAAACTTGTGTAATTTCAAAAGGCCCCTTAAATTTTGGATCTAGTTTTGTTTGATTTCTCTCTTCATTTCTAATCAATACGTAGTCACCAACCCGGTGCTTCACAATTTTTGCTTTGTTCTCATCAAATCTTGTTTTATCATACAGTGCGTTCCGATCAATATTTTCTTTGGCTTGCGCTCTAATCTTGTCCCTATCTATTACCTCCTCTTCTTCTGTAATAGGCAACAGACCAAATGGCCTACCTTCCCTGCCGATCATTAATTCCAAAGGACTTACTTTGGTGACGCGGTTAATTGTACTGTTAATGGCTAACTGAACTTCTAATAGCGCATCCTGCAAGGAGCGCTGCCTCGTCTCGACCGCAGTTAGCATACTTTTAAGAGTACTCATTACGCGCTCGACTTGACCGTTGGCTCGGCTGGCACCCGTGGCAATCAAATGAAGGTCAATTTTCTGGGAAGAGCAAAACTCGCGGAATCCTGAGCTGGCAAAAGATCTACCCTGGTCGGCAATCACACGCATTGGCAAACCAAACAACGAGACAACAGATTTCATGGCTCTCACACAGTTTTCCGTGTCTAAGCTTAAAGTGTGATGCAAATATGTAAACTTAGTAAAAGCATCTATGATAACTATGATGTACTCCTTTTGGTCATTCTTGCCACTCAATTTCCCTGTAATATCAATATGCAGGGTATGCCAGGGTATACCTATTTTCGGAATCGGATGGAGTTCTGCCTGTACTTTACCTTTACAGCCTTTGGATATTTTGCATGTAATACAATTTTCTACGAATCGCCTAACGTACTTAGACATATTGGCAAACCAATAGTGCGCATATACTTTATCTAACGTCTTCTCCCAACCCAAGTGCATTACAGCTTCGTGTACGTGGTTTATTACAGCCCATCTGTAAGCTCTGGGTATTACGGGCAGACAACGTGTCCTTCCGTTGCGTTGAATTTTTCTATGTAACAAACCTTTTCGCAGCTCATAAGTTTTTAGTAAATCTTCCTCCAATTCGTCATTACGCAACTTCTCGATTATTTCCGAAACTTCTGGATCTCGCTGCTGTTCGGCGAGTAACCAGTTGTCGGAGACCTCAGTTAAATTTATGCGCTTCTCGACTACCTTTTCTAACTTTGTATCTTTTTCAGGGGGTAGGGGATTACGAGACAGAAAATCAGCATGAGCCATTCGCTCCCCTTTTCTATATTCAATGCGAAACTGAAAGGCCTGTAAATACCCCCACCACCGGTGTACTCTCGGTGTTAATGTTGCCTTAGAACGACTCGCCCTCAATGAATCGCAGTCAGTATAAATCACAAATTCGAGTCCCTGCAAATAATGTCTAAAGTGTTTAACAGCATTCACCACTGCAAGAGTTTCTAGCTCGTATGAATGGTATTTGGACTCCACTGGAGTTGTGCATTTACTATAATATTCGATCACATACGGTTTTTTATACATTCTGTGCAACAAAATGGCACCATAGCCAATCATACTCGCATCTGTATCGAAGATTGTTAACACTGGAGAACTAGTTAAAAATTGTATTATTTTCTGTCTTAGTTGTTCATGTTCGTTTTTCCAGGAAAGTTCCTTGCATTTTTGAGAAATTAGTAAAAATAATGGTTTTAAAAGCTCTGAAAATTTTGGCACAAATTGCCGAAAATAGGATGCCAATCCAATAAACTGCCTTAGCTGAGATACCATCTGTGGGGGTGGTAGTTCCACAAGAGCTTTTATTTTGCGACTATTTGGTCGGATTTCTCATGCACTAACTTTATAGCCTAAGTAATTTATTTCTTGAGTAAGAAATGTACACTTGTTTATATTAAAGGAGAAACCAGCTTCCATTAAGATTTGAAGGACCTGATCTAGTCTTTCAATTGCCTGATCTTTCGTTTCTGCTACTATCAAAACGTCATCAATGTAAACAATAACAAAGGTATGAGCTAAAGGTCCCAAAGCATTAATGATTGCGCGTTGAAACACCGATGGCGCGTTCTTTAACCCAAATGGCATTGCAAGAAATTCAAACTGTCCCTCGGGAGTTACAAATGCCGTACGTTCGATAGAGTCCGGGTGAATGGGAATTTGATAAAAGCCACTAGCCATATCTAAGCAAGAAAAGAAACTAGCTCCTCTCATACGAGCAATTTGGTCAGCTATAAGTGGCAAAGGATATTTATCTGCCACTGTATTTGCGTTTAGTTCTCTGTAGTCTACGCATAACCGATCTGTTCCATTCTTCTTCTTGACCAGCATCATCGGACTAGCAAAAGGGGAACTACTAGAGCGTATAACATTTGCGGACAACAATTCGCTAATCATTCCCCTAACATTAGCCTTTTCTTCTTCACTAAGTGTATAGGGACGACGCTGAACAGTTTTATGTGGATCAATAGGTCGTATGCTGAGCAGCCCTGTTGTTACTCGTGTGTGTGGAATGCCCTCTATAAATGACTTTGAGTATTTTTCTAATATTTCACTTAATTTTACTTTATCAAAATCATTTAGATCTTTATTAAAATTAAAACGTTTTTCCAGTTTGTTTTCGCATGATAGCGCTAGTACCATTTTGGGCTTATAAATAACAAATTTATTTGCTTCGATTACAACTCCAAATCCTTGACTTAAAATATCTCGACCAATAAGAATATCAAAATTCATAAATGTATCCATAATAACGTGAAACAATATTTCAAGAAAATGTTCGTTTATATTAACATTGCAAATTATCTGTACGGTGCTCCACACCGGTTCGTTTCCGATTCCCCTCAAAACCACTGTGCTATACTGACGCTTCCCTTGTAGCTTCGCTGCTACACTTTCCTTTACGAGAGAACACTCAGCGCCTGAATCAAAACAAAATGGAATAGACTCACCAAACTGTTTCAAAATTCCCTTTGGTTCTATGGCCACCAAATTAACTCGTTTGTTAATCTCGACTTCCTTGAGATTATGGCGATTCCTTGGGCACTCCGGAGCATAATGTCCAAGCTCCCCACATTTGTAGCATGTCCTGTTGTAGACTGCGCGTTGTTGTTGTTGTCCTGACGTAGAGGTGGTTCGCTGTCTTACGTCCGTTCGCCTTTTGTGGCAATCCGCAATCTTATGGCCAAGACGTCCACAGTGATGACACTTCACTAGAGATGGCAGCTTCATTTTCTTCCTTTCGACTTCGTTTCCAAAGGATTCGTTACGTTTCGAATACGCATGCGCCTTTAATTGTTGCTGCAGATCATTACGGTTTTTTACAGCGCCTGTAAGCATTGACTTTAAAAGCCGAGCATCCAAGTTGGAAAGGTGCGTCAAAACGATGGATACGATGAGTTCTTCCAATTCAATTGATTTGAACTTGGACATTAGCGACGTCACCAGGCGGCTGCCATATTCGGGTAAATTCTCCCCATTAAAGATGTTCGTCAAAGTCGCTGCCAGAGTTTCGACGCCGACAAATCGTTGTACAAACAATTCCTGGAATTGCGGCCAGGTCATGCCGCTAAAGCAGATTTGCGCCAACCACTGAGAAGCACTTCCTTGCATAGCTTTGCTGAGAGCCATAACGAGTGAACTCCCTTGAAGCATGTTTTCATTAAAAATTAATGTAACTGTATTACACCACGCACTTGCATCAGCGCCCGCACTATCAGGGTCAAATTTCGGCAATGTGATGGAATTTGATTTCACTTCCGCTAATAGCACTCGCGGTGTATAGATTGATTTCACAAGGTCCAACAAGGCACGATTTTGCGCTTCTAACGCAGCAATAGCACTTTCACTGTCCTGTGGCAGGGCGCATCCCACTTCTGATAACGGAGAAGGAGTATTTTCGGGTTCTGCCATATCGATAGCACAGTCAGTCCCGATCGCG